AATTTTCCGATAGATTTAACGGGGAAAATTTCCAGCTGAATATAGCGGTGAACATTTACCGCTAGATTTAGGAGAAACATTTTCCGCTAGACTTAGCGGGACAAATTTTCCGCTAAATAAAGCTGGAAAGATTTTCCGCTAAATTTAGCGGAAAATCTTCCCAGCTATATTTAACAGAAATTTTCTCTTATATATAGCGGGGAAAATTTTCCGCTAAATTTAGCGGGGAAAATGTTCCGCTAGATTTAGCAGTAAAAATGTATCGCTAGATTTAGCAGGGAAAATTTTCTGCTAGATTTAGCGAGGAAATTTTCCGCTAAATTTAGCGGGGGAATTCGCCCATCATGCACCACGTGATGCGTGAAGCGGCGTCGGCGACGCCGACGCCGCTTAAGCCAGAAACGGGTGCCTAAGAGCTGCGCTGTAGAAAGAGTAACCAACATATCAATTAAGCCTCGTCAATAGTGGCACTAGTAACTCAAAGTAATCAGATTAGTGAACAAATTATCAATTGCTCCCCCCAAAATTAATATTGTATAAACAATTATTCTAAGTTACCAAATGTGTAAGCAAAACACGACCACTGAACAGAATAAGTGCATATATATATTGCGGATTAAATTGACTGACCCCGGGATTAAATTGTGTGGCGCTTGGATTAAACTGTATGGCGCTTGGATTAAATTGAGTGACCCCGGGATTAAATTGGTCGTCGCTTGGATTAAAATGAGCGGGAAAACCTGTAGTTTGCCGAACCCTCGACGCTTTCGCGAAATTCGACGAAGTTTTTATCTTTTAAATAGTGGAGGCCGACGACTTCTATACAAACATTTCAAGTATTTGAGGGAAAAAAAAACTTTATTTACGTAGTATAGTCTGTATATATTGCTACACACGACAAAAGCAGACACATAACATTTCAGTAATCTGGTAACTAGTTTCTTAAGAAAAAAACAAAAACAAAAAAACAACGCTGATACACATTTGCCACGACACGCGCATGAAAGTAGAACTGAGTCCAAAATTTCCTCGACTTCGAACTTCGGCCGGTTCGCGACATCCCTACACCCGAAGAAATGCCTGCGCGTCTACTTACCCGCAAAACACTCGAAGAGCCAATCTCTCCAATCTAGGAAATCAGCTCAGCGAATGATGAGGCGGAACATCCGTTCAGACCTCAGAATTTAGCCTGCGCTGTGGCATTACACAATGCAAGCATGACGCTTTGCATCGCGTAATGCCACAGCGCAGACTTAATTTTTAGGTGTAAACGGATGTTGCGCCTCATCATTCGCTGAGCTGATTTCGTAGCTCACAGAGATTGGCTCTTTCAGTGTTTTGCGAATAAGCAGACGCACAGACATTTCTTAGAGTGCATACTACGTTTCACGTAGAGTCCGACCGCAGCCAAATGGATACAAATCCAAATGGAGCCGATCCATATGGAGCCAATCCAAATGAGCCAATCAAGTAGCGCCAAAAGTGCATAGTCACAGGGCTCTTTTGGGCGTTCGTTGTCACCTTAGTCAATCAATCACGGACTGAAAGAAAAAAAAAAGCGCACTCCGCACCTACTGCGCGTGACAGGTTCGACCGGTAATAGCGAACGCAATGACGATCTACTTTTGGCTATACTTGATTGGCTCCATTTGGGTCGCAACGCTTTCAAGTGAAACAGAGTACATCCAGTTCCCCACGCAACAGTTGTTACAAAACACGCTTCGCAGAATCGCCGTGTCCCACATTTCCTCGTGTTCACGCTCCGATCTCGCAGCCCGGCAACAGCCAGCGTGTCTCTCCCTCTCCTCCGATCCAGACGGCACGCTGTCTGCCGGCGCAGCTCGCCTGTCACGTGACGAGCGCCGCCGCAAAATTTCCAGGTTTCGCAAGCGGCGACCTTCAATTCCCTCCGCCGACCCCCCCACGCGCAGACGAATCCAGCTCGCGCACTTCCCATAGCGGCCTTGGCGGCAACGCCGTTTGCCCACCAACTGGACGGCCAGTTCGGCGTCGTCCGCCGCAGAGCACGTGATGTCCCGCCCACCCGCCCTACGTCACAATCGAGCATTGTAGCGTGCAGGAAGTATGGCCGAAAACGAAGCGAACCCAGAGCTGCAAAAGCTACTTTCCGGAGCTCGGGCGTCATTAAATTACGAGTACAGTCACATTCCTAGACCTGTAGCTAGTTCTAGAGGTCTAGAACTAGCTACAGGTCAGGTTTTACTAACTTTTAAAAAAAAATAATATTCTACGAGACGTCAAGGTCTGCTACCGCTAAAAGGGAATGGGGCCAAGTCAACGTAGTTAGTCGCACTTTGTTCCATCCATCGCACTTTGCCCCATCCAAGGGGAGGTATTAGCGCAGCGCCGTCTTGGTTCGGCGCTGCTCTCACGGTAGACAAGTCGAGGCAGTGAAAACATGCATGTACGTTGTCTATACCACCCGGAATTAATGCATTCGTCAACTTAATTAAAAAAATATATATATTTGATCGTGACTGAAATTGCAGCCGGTGGCAATAACCCAAATAATTCCAGTTACGTCGCAGCTCCGATTCAATCGTCGAGTCGTTACATTTTGCAGCACTCAAGCGCGCACGACAGATAAGTTCTCCGCAGCGACGGAGCACCACCACGTTCACCTCGACCACGGCAACTTTCTTACGACACATACACACACACAGAGTGCGGGAAGGCGGCGACACGCAGGAACGCACCGAGACACAAACGGCGGCAAAATCAAGCTTCGAGACAAAGAAAAAAAAAATGGCTTCGCGATCGACGAGGAGATCGAACTATGGAGGCGCTTTACCCAGCTTGTTTTCCACTGAGCTTAGTGTTTTCCCCAACATAAGGCCACTGAATCGGATTCTTTGCGTCATCTACATCGATGGAGAGCGGGGCGGTTTGTGAACACGAGTGCCGACCGCGTCAGTGTTCGGCTACGTCAGCCTAACGCCCGCCTCAGAAACACAAACGAATAATAGTGGTGTCGTTATTGTACCCTCGTCTGTAGTTCTCAACTTAGCCGCTAGGGGCGCGTCGGTCGAATCTCCTCTGGAATGTAGGGATTTTCGTTCCGTTGTCATCATTGTACGCTCTCGTGGCCAGATATCCCATCGGTGGTGGGATCGTCGCAAATTCGCGGCACGCGTCTATGGAGGAAAAAAAACACTGTCGATCGCGGACCGAGCGCGCGGCGGTATGCGCGGCTGCCCCGTCGGCCAAGTGTTGCACCTCCGCGACCTTTCTGACAAGACGTTCGAGTAGTATTCGGGTCGGCGAACCTCTTCCTTTTCATTCCGCTAGCAAACACCGGGGCAACCGCAGCAGCAGCGCGTTGTTTTTCACTTCGGTGGCATGTCTCCTTTGTCCTTCGCAGATTAGTCGACCTTTCGTCCGCAAATACAATGCTTAAAAACTTTTTTTTTTTTAATTTGTTAAATACATTTAAAAAAAGTATCGCGCGCCCTTGAGAAATTACTTCGATGCCGCATGTTTTTGCGCACGCCCTTAGAGTACGTATTGGGTACGAGTGTTGTGTCATCGTTCGGCGCATGCTCGGGTAGAAAACAAAATCTATTTGACGCGGGTGCCACGTTAGCACTGGACGTGAACTCGTATCCAATGGAGCGCTTCGCGCATGAAGCGATGCCCAGAACATGGCGGCCGCCGGTGTTGCTTAGTTACCTTTTGAAAGGGGTCTATTACAGATTCGAGGAGAAAGGGGACGCGCCGATAGAGGTACCCACACAGGCACAGTGACCGCTCATCCACACTGGATGCGGATCCGCGTTCGTAATGCGGTTGCGAAGATCCAATACAATGGACCTTTTTTCAGTACCCTTCTGCGCATGCGCACATCCTTTCCCCTGGCCTTGCTTCTCGCGGCCTCCATTTTCGGAGGGCACCATCCCGCACGACCGACTTTTGTCAGCGCCTCTTTATCCGCGTATTTCGTCTTTTTTGACGATTCTTTTTTTCTGGATAGGATATCGGTAGCATGGGGCATAAAAAAACAATCAAAACCAATACAACCGCTCCATACCAATGTGTTTTGACGAGCGGAGGGAGTCCTGTTGGGTTGCCCTTCATTTGTAGTTCGCGGACAAACCGCCACACGGCGCTCGTTACTCAAAAAAGGTCCATTGCACGCACACTCGATGACATCGAGTGCGCCTGCAAATGTACTGGATCTTTATACAACCGCGTTCGCAACCGCTTTCCGAACGCGGATCCGCTTCCAGTGTGAATGAGCGGTGACTCTACTCCGCTTACCCCACGCCGACACCGCGGTCGGGGCTACACGCTCGCACAACCAATCAGCCGGCTGCATTTCATCGCCCGACCTCGCTCTCTGCGCGGGGGGTGTACGACGCAGAAGCGTCATCACGCGACGAAAAATTGACGTGTGACTGGTCCAACGAGCACGCAGCTTTCCACCGACTTTTTAGCGTGTGGGTTTGAGCGGTGCATCGCTCGCATGCGCGCTGCAAATAGAACGAACAACCCCAAAAAACGCACCAAGAAAAATGCGGACGGCGGTTCTGGTGTTACGTGTACCCTTGCGAAACAAAACGATCGCGAGAGCGCACTGCTTCCTGCCCAGCACACGCAACGTTCGTGCACTGCCGCGGGGGCATGTGAACGTCAAACGCCAAAAAAACAAATATACAAAACTAATTTATGGTATCACCAACGCACACGTATGTAGCAGATGACATTGAAGGTCGCCCCTACAGGATCGTTCGGGGCAAAAAAAGTCTCCTAACTACAATAGTTTTTTTTTTTTTTTTTCACTTTCTTTTTTTTTTTTTTTGTATATGATTTTTGCGGAATTTGTTCAGGAAACAGTTGCCGAGACAACGGCGTAGAACGTCCCGCCCCCCCCCCCCCCCCTCCTTTCTTTTTTTTTTTTTTTTTCTTCAGCAGAGGGTCGTGTTTTTTTTGTGCGAGCGAAGCTCCCTAAAGACCCCCACACAGAAGAAATGCAAGCTTACCTCCATCACGAGGTGGACGTGGTGCGTTGTTTCCTGAAACGACAGAGACGGGATGCCGTCAGCAACGGGCCCCCGAAGCCAGAACAAAAACAATACCGAATGGCTTTTCGGACTCAATCACGGCGATTGCCTCAAGAGACAAGCGAGGCGCTCAAGTAGGGAGACAAGACCGCCGACAAATTTGTTTTCTACCGAAAGTAGCCCAGAGTGCAGGCGAGTTCGTGAGGTCACCGCAAGCGCGTTTTCTTTTTTCTCCCGCGTCCGCTGCAGTCGGTTCGTACATTCGTAAAGCAATATATATATATATATTTTTTGTTGTTGTTTTTTGTTTTTTTCGGACAACGATTAGGTCAGTAATGTCTGGGTTATATCTGGGACATGCTAGAAGTACAACATCGAACGTTAAAAACGCGCTTAAGTCAATTTCGCAAGGGTAACTGTCAAACCACTTTGCTAGCACATATGGAAGCCAACTAATTAGTTGAGGAATGTTAACTGAAGTGGATCCTTCCTTCTTGCGCACGAGACCTATATTTTGTTTCACTTCAGTCCATTAGAAAACATGATTGCGCTTTGAAGACAGGGACATAGGAAGAACAGACACCACAGAGCGCTTCCTATGTCCCTGTCTTCAAAGCGCAATCATGTTTTCTAATGTACCCTACCAACTGGCCCAACAATCAGCACTTTAGTCCAGACGCAGCCGGCGCTACGAGCTAATGGGACCAATTAAACAGCGTCAAAAGCGCAAGTCACTGCGCATTTTCTGTTCACGAGTGGTTCAGCTACGATAGAACACGCAAAGAAACCTAGCGAACACCACGACGGTGCGCCTTTGAGTGGTGTTTCATATGGTCTCGCGAGCGGCACTTGTTAGCCGCACCGAGGACTTGATACCGTTAGCTAAGCCACGTTTATAGGGCGATTGCGGATTCCAACACTGGGCCAGGCCAGAAAACAAAACAACCAGGGTTCCCACTCACCTTGCAATCCAAAAGGGCGACCACATTTTCGTGATGCAGCTCCGCCAGTTCCTGCAACGAGACACAGTTTCCAAGATCAGAGAGGCTAGCAGTGTAGATACGAGACGGCACGTGTCACCTCGACATGCGGCTGGAACCTACGCGAAACGTCTTAGGCGGGGACGTGCACGAACCTGCCGACAGAGGTTCGACTTCTACCGATTTCAAACCCAAAGCTCGACGAAAGTTCGACCTTTCTGCTACGGTGCCCGTGACGCGTCTACGACTGGTGTGTTTTGCGTCCTATATTACCCATGTATAGATAGAGTTGTCCCTAGCTAACTCGTGAGTGTTTCCGTCGTCACAGCGTCCTCACGGAGCCTCGGTAAACAGTCAAAACACACCGGTCACGTTAATTGGATATACGTATTTTTTTAAACATTACTAAACTATCGAAAGCATTACAGTATGCAAACATTGGTATCATTTAATACGTACTATCGTATCAACTTGTTCGAAAATTTGAAATTTTGGCGTAGGAGTTGAACAACGCCGTTCAAGTCGAACCTTGGCGAAACCTCTCAAGTTCGACGAAGATCCGCGGCATCCCGTATGTAAAAACGAAAACCTCGGATGCGAGCGGTCGAGTCCGCACGTCACTTTAAAACGTGTCACGGCTGCCTGACAACGGTCTCGAAAGATTGCATCAATCGATCGTACCCGTCCGCGGAAAAAATTACGCTAAAACCAGCGTGTCGCATTATATACGAGGCCAGTAGCAGTAATTATGTGCCAAAGGCTAAAGACTCGCTGCAAGTGCCGCTTCTAGCGTCAATGTCCCTTAATTACGAGGTGGAAAGCCGCCAAGGACGACCAAACACTATACTCCGTTTTAGGCTATTAGCGCAACTTGTCAAACGGTAAAAGTTACGGCCGCGGCGAACCAATCGAGGCGCCAGACCAAGGCACGTGACACCGTATTGTAGGAGTGCATTCACGGTGGAAAGCTCTCACGTGCATAGCTTTTCCGCTCCGACTGATTCGCGGCTTCGCAGTCAGCCAACACCCCTAACTAAGGGGATTACTCGAGTTCTCGGGTGTAACGTTGGGAATTAAACAGCACCCTCGGTAAGGGGAGCCACATGAGTCCAGGAGGGTGTACTATGAGTCCCAGATTTAGGGACATCGTGGGACTCCCCAAAAGGTTTAATTCAAATATAAAAAGAGGGTGAGAGGTAGGTGGTGCTCTTTTCACAGTGTATTTATCAGAATCGACGGGCATTAGATGAAGGTATAATCGTCAAGGTAAGTTGGCTAATTAATTAAAATTGTCAACTTTTTCTTTATTATCAGTTTTAGGGGTCATGTTCCAATTGCAGAATTGACGGTAATCACTATTAGAGATGAAAGAATTCGCAAAAATATAATAGTTCTCGAGATACTACTCTCAGCGCTTTGTCTTTTAGACCAATCTAAAAATTGCGCGCAAAAAGAACGCCGCAAGCCCTGCCCACAATGACGTTTGGAAGGGTGACGTAGGGATTTCAATCATGTTGTCACTATCTCGGCAGTGCGCGCTTGGTGGGTGCGCCGACGTCACGAGTGACCGATGTCACAAGAACTAATCACGTCACTCTACTATATACTAACGGCCCCCGATTCATACGACGGTCCGAATCAGGATTTGCGTCCGCGGACCGTGTACCACGTGACCTTCACGTCACTGATTTCTGCGATCCGCGCCTTGTCCATCTGGCAACGGTGCAACGCTCTCTTTGTTTTCGAAAGAACGAAACGAAGATGGTACTGCGAGAAACCAGAGATTGAGCATTCGGGTCAACTACTTGCGCTCTGTATGTTTTTGTTCGAAGTGAAAGGAGCGATTGCAAAATGGACCTAACAGGTAATCACTGGCTCAACCGCGCCGGGTAATCCGCTTCAGAAGAATCAAGCACCAACACAATGAATCACATAACTATATCATAGTCACGCTTTCTTGCGTTGCACCGAGTGCAGCTTTACAATAACCGCGGTATAACTTTAAGGAACAGGATTCAACTTTCAGATATTACGTCCAAGCGAAATGACACCCGACCTCGACAACGTATAGTGTGAAACAAGACGGCAAAAAGAGAACTCCTAGCCTGCGAGGAAGGTCCATTATTTACACAATGCCACATCCAAGTGAGAATATCCACGCCGTGTGGAGAAACCGGCAGCAGGTCCAATACCATAGGGGCAAGGAAACGTATCTATCCATCGATCACGCCGTTTTTTTTGTTTTTTTTTGTGGTGCACACGTGACACGTCGCAGCCAGTCTGGTGTTTCAATGGACCAACTTCCGAATTCTGAGTCACCTTCTGGCGGCTCTAAAAGCTCCAATATTGTCGCTCTAATGGTGGTGGTAATACAAAACCATGCTCGCCTCGCCCCCCCCCCCCCCCCCCTCCCCCCTCGCCCCCTTTAAACCAAGCATCCTCACTTCGTGAATCGAAGGTAACGTAAAAGGACCAACCTCTTTTTCAGCTTTCTGCTCAATGCTTCCAAAGACGTTCGCCTCTTCCGGGATAGAGCTGTATGGTGCTGCCATTAAAGCGTCAGGCTTGGCTCAGCCCAGAGTGGGTAGAGGCTGACTTTCGGAAAGCGTCCATTAGTTGTGCTCGCGGACTTGATCATGAATTGAGCTACTCGATCGAACGGCGTAAGAACAAACACTTTCGTATGCTGCCGTACCACAGCGCTGGCGCGTCATAAAAGTTGCCAAAAGTACACCAAGATGACCTGGTTTCCCCACTGTTGCGGAAATTCCGAGACCAGCTTGGAACAAATAGCCGACCCATCGGCCGACGACGTCGAACGTCAGTTACGCAGCTACGCGCCGCACTTCTCCGTCTCGCCATTTTAAAAACGGCAGCCAAGCTCACGTCTAATACAAATCTTGGCGAAGATAGTCGGCTCACGCTTTCCTGAGGCAACCATTCGGTCTTAATCGTTTCTTGCAGACATGCAGAGTGGAAGGACGTGCAGCGGTAGTTCGGTGATTCAACCAACTAAAGGCCGGTTCAGACACTTGCGTTTGAGTGCGTTTGACTACGTTGCGTCGAGTACCGAAAGCGAGTCACCGGCACATCTGTGCTTCGTATGAAGCGTGGGATCCAATTCAAGGAATCGTCTTGGCACGCGATATAAGCAGCAGGGATGTCCTGGTTTCTCGCTGCCGCGACGCAGTAAAACGCAGTCAAACGCAACTGTCTGAACCAGGCTTAACCCTGAAACAGACAGTGCTTGCTCGCGCACGTTAACGAGCAGCAGTGTGCTGTCAACAATGCCACGCTGCTGTTACCATGTAGCTGTTTTTTTTTTCGCAACTACACAAAGAGAACGCAGACTGTTGCGTGCGGGTCACAGGTGTCACCTGACGAGGAGCTGTTGCTATGCTGCTGATCAGCATTGGAGAGGCAGAGGGGGTGAAAGAAAAAGAAAACAAGTTCATGCAGCAATCAGTCGCAAAGGAGGAGGAAGGGTGCGCCGTGCAACGCGAGCACGCGGAGGGAGCTTACCTTGAGAATTTTTATTTCCTTGCCGAGGAGATTCTGAGACTTTGCCAGGTTCTTTTTGGTGATGCTCTTGATGGCCACCGGGAGGTCCGGTTTCTGCGAAGCAAGCGGCACCAAAGAGGCACGCGTTAGAAAAAGAACCGGACAACGCCGGGGAGGCGCGGGCAAAGTATAATACCCAGGGCAGACAGACCCCCGAATCTACAGCATCTGGGGCTCCGATGCGTCACCGCTAACTTTGATGACATCAACAACATCATTTACAAAAGGCCAATAGACGTAAGCATCACGGAGAATGCAGGGATTGGTGTTCCAGGCGCCGCACGTGCTGGCCTCAGCCAGTAGTAACTTTTCTAAAGAAAATACACCTAAAACAAATGGCATCTTGCACGCGCGTTCGTCAACGCTTTAGTTTGGTTATTCACTTCGAATCTTTTCTACGGGGAAGGCGTGCGCGTGGGGCGCGTGCAACACCGATCCCTGCATTCTCCTTGATGCTTGGGTAATACAGCAAATGGTCTATAGGCAAATGAAACAGTAGTCAGAGACAGGATAAGAAGGGCAAAGAGATGGAAGGTAGGTAGCTAGGTAGCAGCCTTCGATAACGCTTCGGCGTCTCGTGAGCTTCGGGCGTGCACACGCAGCCAAAGCACGGCGGAAGGCAACCAGAGCGTGCTGGAGGTCGGCCGTTCCAAAGAGACGGCCTGTCGTTTTCGCTCTCTCAGTGACTCTAGTGAGTTACATGTTAAGAATGCTACCACACCAGAACCAAACAGTAGTAAAGAGAACAACCGGGGTGAGCACTGCGAAAACCTATAGGGCGCCTTCATGTGCGTTCTGCTGTTTTTCGCGTGGAAGGCGTACATGAAGGCACCCTAAGCGAAACCATCTCGTTGTTTTGTTGTTTTTTTCCCACAGTTTTGCGTTTAGCAACACAAGGCATGTGCACTGGATTCTTTACTTCGTCTGTCTGGATTGCGCGCGGGGCAAAGATCGGCCACGACTCGTGCCCACTTTTTTTTTCCCCGCGCTCAGTCGAGAAAAATGAAGTTGAAACTTGGGTGCTCCGTGTGCGCGTTCGGCTTCACTGATTGTACACGAGCCGCGGCCGAACGATGACAAAACATTCGGCTACGTGGACCGAGCGCTGCATCAAAACAAAAACAAATCACCTATGTTGTTGTTGTCCTCATCGGTGTAGTTCTCGATTTAGACAATGGGGCCGCGACGGCTGGACCTTCCCAATACTTCCCAAGCTGTTCCAAGAGTAAAAGCGAACCCTCCGAAACCTGGGATTCGAGGGAAAGTGGACCTTTCCCGCCGATTGCGTCTCTGAGCCCTGACGGCTATGCACGAAAATCGAAGACACCGGAAGAAAAGAAAAGTTCGATGAGGTTGAGCTCGCATTCTACGTATTACGGGAGAACAGAAAATTAACCTATACGTCTCCAGCACCACTAAAAATTCGTGATACAGGTGGTGCAGTAAGGCGGCTTTTTCAACACCTTCTTAAACGTGCGCAAAAAAAAGAAAAAAGAATCTCTTGGGGAATCGTTGTAGGCCCATTGTTCGTACACCTAAACCGCGATGCCCATTTGCACGCAGACAGCTTGTGTCACACACGGCGCTTCCAGCACGCTCGCGTTGCGAGCGCTCTACGCCTCATCGGCCCCCGACAATCGGCTCCGATGTTCGGAAATGCGATCCGCCGCACGACGACGAAGGCACGGCGGACAGTATAAGCGGCACCGGTGTTCGCACCATTTCGCGCGGCACGGCGCCGGTCCAAGTTCACATCGCGAGCAGCAGCGTGAGGAACAACAGAGTCACGACAAACATAAAGGGATGCATGCGAGGTGGAAGGAGAGGAGGCGATGCAAAGTACACGCCTTTACGTCGTTCAGCCCTCAACTGACAGTGTGGTAGAAGGTGCGTTCTCGGTGGACCAGTCATACGTAGAGTAGTTTTCACCACGTGATCAAGCTTTCCCCACGAACACACGCTCAGAGACTGGAGTCAGGTGGTGAGAGGGAGGCGGTGTCCGGCGAGCGCGTATCTTCCATCGCACTGTCAGCTTAGCGGTGAACAAGCTATAGGCAGGTCCGCGGTAGGGACGGCGCCCCGTTTGAATCGAGAATCTCTACGCTGCGCGAATAAAGAAAATATATAGAAAAAAAAAAAAAGTGGGCTGCTTCGGCAGCACACAAACAACTTCCGGTATTAAAACTTTTTTTTTTTTTTTTTTCGGGAATCGTGTGGTGGTAGAGAGGAGGCGGTGCAGTGATCGGACGCAAAGTGAAGACCAAATTGCTTCTTGTCAAGGTCAGGTCGAGCCGTCCCCTCTCGACCCGGCAACAACATTTCGGCCGGTCCAACCTACGCCACCTAGCAAAGTGAAAAAAAAAGAAAGAGAAGGTCTATTGACGGGCCGCAAAGTGACGTCCTCATCCTCGTCGCTGTCTCTCTCTCTCGCTCAACCATCACCCTCGTGCTCTCCTCTTCGCCGTTCTCGTTCGTGGAAGTGGCCCATCGATCGAAGCCGAACGTATTCCCCGCGCCAGCAAAAAGAGGCCGTCGCGATTTGCGTCGTCAGCAGGCGGCAGCGAGCAGGGCGGGGGTGTCCATAAATAAACCGGACGCTCCTCTTCTTGCCAGGAGTGGCGCGGCCGTAAAGGGCCGCAGGAGAAAGAAAGTAGGGGCACGATACGCGTGAATGAGATCAGGAGGAGGGAGCCTCCAACGACCGCAAGGGAGGGAGCACGCCTCGAGGCAGTTAACCCCGGTTGACCGGAGAGTTCCACGGAAGGGGAGTTTGGTCGCGGACAAAGCGACGACAGCTGTCGCAAGAACGCGCTCACGACATTCGGGAAGGGAGCTCTGAAGGCCACATTCGCGCGCCCTACACCGGTGCAGCATAGCGATTCCCGCTTGCGATGTTGTGGCCAATCGACGCGTTGATGGTTCTGTGCTTATCCCCAACTTCTCGCGTCAGCCTCGAACTATCCAACAGATTGTAGACAACGAACTTGCGCTCTCCGACAAGTTCGCCAACATCATGCTGTACACACCACGGACGAACGCAGTACAGTACACCCTACGCAATATAGTAAGGCATCTATAATTGAAAATGTCTCGAAAGGGGTGGTGAAACGTAATAAAGGCCTGTGGTCATCGTGTCTTTTAATGATTGTTCATTGGCACAACGCCCTCATCGACCAATACGAACGTTTTAACGTTCGTATCAATACGTCCGTCTCGTCGAATGAGCCGACATCGGGTCGGTGCACCCGTTCGAAACGTGTTGACGAGTTCCGCGCAGCCCTCTACACTCGAGCCGACACCCAAGGAACAACACCGAGGACCGCTCTGCCGTAACGCTACACCCAGCGCAGCAACACGGATGCGGCCACTGACTCCCTCCTCAGAGTCCCTCGAGACCGCGTACTCCGACGCCGACACACGAGCCTCGCGGAAGCTTCAGCCGGTCCCCAAGAAATGTATCCGCACGCAGAGACACTCGAGGCTCTCCCACCGGCTCATCGATTGTCCACCAACCGCCGCCACGTGGTCACTCCGAGAGAGCACAGCTACACTCCGCTTCACCTTTCGTCGAACCGAAACGGAAACTATACGAGGCCTCCCAGTCAAACCTACGGTAAAAATTAATATACGGAAAGTATACCAAGTTTTCCCTTTTTCCTTTTAAGAGCGCAGCTTTTAGGCGCCCGTTTCCGGCTTGAGCGGCGTCGCCGTCGGCGTAACCACGCGGTGCATTGTGGGAAATGTCCCATAATGCAACACGCGGGGAGGACGAGGAGGAAAGAGGAGGGGGAAGAGAAGGGAAGATGGGAGGAGGAGGAGAGGGGCTTGAAGGATGAGGGGACGAGGACGACGAGTAGCAGGGAGGGTGAGGAGGAGGGAGGAGGTGTATACCCTCTTCTCAGTACCCTTCCTTCCTCCTCCTCAAGAGCTGCGCTCTAATTCGGCGTTACACGGAGTTGTAAACGTCTTTCATAATATTTTTTTTCTGAAACAATTCTGAAAGTATACTTAAACCATATGTTTTTCGTTAGTTTACAAACAGTATATCATTAGACCTCCGTCACCAGACAGAATCGACACGCGGGCCGCACCTCTAAAATACGAAGTCCACTAAAAGAATACTTTAGGTACATACAAAAGAATTAAATGCGTACTTCGTGACATGTTCAGAACAGTTCGAGAAAATAACAGTATACTGTTATTTTCTCGAACTGTTCTGAACATGTCACGTGACTACAGGCCCCGCGAGTGGCTGCCGTTTCCCCCAGAGTTCACGTGACACTCACTCAGCATTGGATTAACTTTCCTCGACACCCTCGCCCACCTTGACCGCCGACTAAAGCCTGTGCGCGGGCTATCCTCTCCCCGGAAATGCCAAGAAACGTCGTCGCGGGGTAGAGGCAAATTTGAGGGTTTCACGTGCCACACCAACGAAGGCCGGGCATCTGGCACGGCTCAGCGGAGGACTGAGGGTTACTATGGACCACCATGGGGATCTTTTGACGAGCAACCGAACGCTCGATTATACAGCGCCTTCTCCGCAATAAGCCTCGGTCAGAATGCGAGCCCCTCGGCAGCCGAGATTCGAACCCAGCACCACCACCACCTGGGGATCCGTAGGCCGGCACATTGTCTCGGTGCCAGCCAGGCGGCTCGATGGCCCGTATGTCCTCTTTGGTCCACCGTAAGACCAAACGGAGTAGAGGCGTTCTCCGAGGTACGGGACGGGCCATCGGCGACGACAGCGCGCTAATGGGGCCTCCGCACCGATTCCCGGCCGGCCCTACGACGACAGTCGCCGCCGCCCCGTACCTCGCATTACGCCATCTTGATCCAAAGCGCGCTCGCCAGAGATCTTGGATAAAGCCCCCTTCCGAGAACAAGCTCGTTAGTCCGCCCCGAGTCCCAAGAACGCCCCCCCCCCCCCCCCCTTTTTTTTTTTTTTTGTTAATCTTGGACGACTGTCATTTGCGCAGAACCCGACGTTAGACTTGTTCTTTACACTGCGTTGCTGTATTTTTTTTTTTTTTTTAATAATACAGAAAAGAAAGAAT